GAATCTCTTTGGCAAGTTCTTTTGAGACATATTTCTTAGAGGCCTTTTCCGACCAGCTGATGATGACCTCTTCTTCTAAAAGATCTGCATCATACATCTCCTTCAAAATATGTGGTATCTTGGAGATCAGCTGAGCTTGATGCGTTGCTACCACACATTCCAAACCATGAAGAAGGTACCGCTGAGCCTTTTTGTTGTTACGACAAAATCTTAAGAAATGGCGCCTGTATTTTTTGATCTGCTCTCTTATCTTCTCATTAAAGAGAACTTCAGTCAAAACAAGAGGACCCATGGCTTTTACATCCAGTCTTTCTGCTTCAGCAACAATTTCTTTATCAGATGAATCAATAATGCCCTCTTCTTTCTTTTCCTTAACAAAATCAAACAGGATGTTAACACGCTCCTCTATAGTTCTTTCCAAATCATCGCTGAGTGTTAGAACTTTAGCACGGTCACTGATTTCATCCATTCTGCGCCTCTGAGCTTCCTCGGTTGTATCCTCCCCCCAGTCATCATCCTCCTCCTCTTCCACAGCATGTGGAGGAGGACTACCTTCATTTGGTGGAGGAGGTGGTGTCTCACTGCTGGAAACGGAGCCATTTTCCTTGTCCTTGCCCTTTCTATTTTTCTTTACCTTTTCTTTCTTTCCTGTACCACTGTCACTATTCTCAGGTGGGTTTTTGAGAATGAATGTACAGAGTTTATGATGTGTGTCAAGCATGCCTCGGTACCCACAGGCTTTACAAGAATTACCTATTGTTTGCTTCTTTGGATTGACATGCAGATCGGTTTCAGGATTCTCACACTCAGGACAAAGAACAAATTTTTTTAATGAATCCATCCAACATGTCTTGCAGCTTATTCGCCTCATGAGATCCGTTGACAATGTACCGGTCATTCTTAACATCAAACTGGGTCTGTGCTCCCAGCTCACAACCAAAATATTTGGTGGGATCTACAGAAAGACAAGACATTTCAACATAGTTAAGCTTCAGCACTGGCTTCACACAAAAATAAAAATCTATAGAGAACTCAGCGCTCTGTAAACCTACAGGGCCAACTGATACAGCCAGGTGTTTTAATGACACCCATCTAGTAGGCCGGAAGTTCCACACTTGCTAATTAACACACGATCCAGGAAAGATGCATAGCTCAAAGACTGTCAAGACTATATGCAGAGTATACCTTTTCAGGCTTCTCCAAGCTTTACTTACACGTTGGAGGCCGATTAAGCGCCTTTGCAAATAACTGTCTTGATTCCATTTCCCTTGCCCTCAACCTTGGCAATCAAACGGGGCATCTTGTAGCGATAGAACTGGTCTGACACGCTGCGGTTGACGTTGACAGACATTTTGACTTATTAGTGACTTTATCAATAAGATGAACAGATCTTTGATTGCAACTTTTTGGTATCTTCTGTCTGGAGAAGAAGGGATGACATAAACGACTGCAAGAGTTCTCGGTCTCTGACATGAAAAAGTTTTCGCCACTGAGGCTGTAAGCTTCTTGCTTGTATGCTATGTTTCCCCAATACAGGTACCAATGGCTGCGCAACAGCTCTGAAAGAGAAGAGGAGAAACACACAAACATCCCCACAGGGTTAGTACCGTCCCTGTCTGGAGTAACTTCCTGTCTTACAGCACCCCGCGTCACCAACACCCCCCAGCCTACAAAGCCCGGGGTCCATGTGGGACAACAGTTGACAATCCCACGGCACAAAGCACCACTCGAGGCTCCTCGGAGGCCACCATTTTGGCCGACGAGGGCTGTGACCGTGGCGGGGAAGTGCCCGGAATGAGGTAGCAAATTCCGAGTTTTGGAACCCTAACTTAGGTGCCTAAGAGAGACATTGTCCCAGAATGAGGAGACTTAGGACTCCTAATATCAGGGCACTTTCCATTTTGTCAAGATAATCTACCTACATCTGTGGTTCTCAACCTGTGGCTTGCAATTCCTTGGGGTGGGGCTGGGGTCAAATGGCCTTTCACAGAGGTCACCTGAGACCATTGAAAACCAAAGATGTTTACATTATGATTCATAACAGTACCAAAATTACCATTAGGAAATAACAGCAAAAATAATTTTATGGTTGGTGTCACTGAAACATGAGGAACAGCATTAAAGGGTGGCAGCATTAGGAAGGTTGAGAACCACTGACCTAGATGGTTTGAACTGCATTGCCTTTGACTCAATACCATTTCTCTTTATATTTTCCTTCTTTGCTGAATGTAAATGTTTTAGAGCTTGCAAATTTGGACAGTATGTCAAAATGTTCTGACAAAATCTTTGATACTTTTTGAAGTACTTGAGAATTTAATACATTGACAAATGGTTTCCTATTTGTATTAAAAAAAACAAATTAGTATTTAGGTATTTGTGCTGGCCTGCCTTTGGGGTTCTGACAGGATACACCCTCAGCCACAGCCACTAAGAGTACCATCTGTGCACATTCACTATGTTCCCTTTTAAAAGGACTCCCCCCACCCAGCCTTTCTTTCCTCTCTCCAACTGCTCCTGTCCCTGGGGGCTGGTCTCCCCACTTCCCTTTCCCCATTTTATGATCCCTTTCCCCTAATTAAAAAACAACCCCTCTGCTTGAACTCTGTCACATGGTGTCTTTTTCTCTTGAGCTGCTTTTCAAAAACTACAATAACTATCTGCTACCATTCCTTACATGGAAGAGATTATGAGGACTCACTACTCTCATATCAGCACAATATTGTCATAGGTCAGTCTTGCAGTTTCATTGTCTGTAGTCCTTCCTTAGATTAGAAAGGTTGGAGTAAGAATGCTCTGATTTTCTGTAATAGGATATCATTTTAAAACAAGCCCAGGAGTGGTGTAGCTGGATCTTAGGGAAGATCTATTCCCAGCTTCCCAAAGAGCTACCACGCTACTTTCCATAGTGGATGTACAAGTTTGCATTCTCACCACCAGTGGGTGCCTCAGATTACTTTATTTTTTGGCTAGGTGACCTAGCTACTGGGAAAATTGTGGTTTTGAAATCATCTGCTATCTTTGGGTTTGTGTTCAGCTGTGCCTTTAATTCCATCAAGTTGATTCTTAACAAAGTTGGATGCACCAGGTTTTGGTGCATGTATGTTAAGTATAATATTTTCTTGATTAACTGATACTTCGGTTAGTATGAAGTACCTTTCTTTATTTCTTGTCTATTTTGTCAGATATTAGGATGGCAATACCTGCTTGCTTCCTGATACTATTCATTTAGAATACCTTTTCCACCCATTCCTTGTAAGATGGTGTCTGACATTAAAACTAAAATGAGTTTTTTTTCTTTTTTTGATAACAGAGAGTTGGATTTTGTTTCTTAATCAATGTATGTAGCCTTTGTCTTTTGATTGGACTGTTGAGTGTTATAGAATATTAATTAAAGATATGTTACCTTTGTTTGTTCTGTGGAACATTTGTTTAATGATGCAAAGATGTATGGCATTCTTTTATATTGCATTTGTTTAACTCTGAACCTGTGTTACTTTGCCTGTCTAGGACACCTGATTTATCTAATAAAGAGCTGAATGGCCAATAGGTAGGCAGGAGAAAGGATAGGTGGGGCTGGCAGACAGAAAGGATAAATAGGAGAAATCTAGGAAGAAAAGATCAAGGAGAGAGAGAGAGGAGGAGGACTCCTGGGGTCAGCCACCTATGGAGTAAGAAGTAAAGAATGGTATGTAGGATAAAGATAAAAGCCCAGAGGCGAAAAGCTAGCTGGGATAATTTAAGAAAAGCAACTAAGGCTGGGCATTTATAAGTAAGAATAAGTATTTATTTGGGAGCTGGGTGGGAACCTCCTCAAAGATCAAAAAGAGTAAAAAGTAAAACAAACAAAAAATCCAAACAAAAACAGAAAAACAACCACAACCGTTGAGGCCATTAATATCTGGAGTCATTATCAAAAGATATGTGTAGAGTTCAGCTTTGTTTTTCTTGCTGTTTTGTTTTGATAGCTGTGCTTTGTATTTTATTAAATTATAGCTTTGTTTATTTTCTTTCTAAAAGTCTTGTTATGCTTATTCTTCTTGTATTTAAAGGTATTCCATTCAGTATTAAGAGTTTTTGTTTGATATGACTGTTTCAGGCTGTTTGTATTGTGGAAACATTTCCTTTCTCCTTCACTGATGGCAGTTTTGCTGAACACAGGAGTATCGGTTGACATGCATGGTCTTAAGTGCATAGTATTTAAGTACATTGCTTCAGTTTCTTCTGGCTTTCATAGTTTCATTTGAGAAATCAGCTGTTATTCTGATGGGTTTCTCATTTATAAGTGACCTGTGTATTTACTGCTCTTGAAGATTTCAAAATTTTTTCTTGTCCTGTATATTTAGTGGTTTTAATTATCATATGCTTTGGGGTGTTTCTTCCCAGGTCTTGCCTAGTTGGGGTTCTGTTTGCTTCTTGTATCTTTATGTATATGTCTTTTCTTACTTGGTTAAAGTTGTCTTCTGTGATCTTGTTAAAAGCCTGGTCTAGGCTTTTGACCTAGAATTATTCTCCCTCATCTATGCCAATAGTTTGAAGATATGTTTATTTGATGATGTCACAAATTTCTTGCATAGTCCTTTACTGCACTTTTTATTTTTTCACATTATTTTCTTATTTCTTCTAGGTCTCCAACTTTTTCTTCACATCCAGATACTCTCTCTTTTGTTTGATTCAAGGCTTTCCTCTGAGCTTTCTAATTGGATGTTGAATTTTTCAATTTTTATCTTTATTTTAGCCAATGACCTTGAGTTCGGCCTTTGGGTATGAAAATGGCCCCAATGGTAAATGTTGGGATATAGGAAGGGGAAATGTAACTTTCCCCTCACAAATAGAGGGTTCACAGCCTTGGTTCTGGAATAGGCTTGTGGGTTTTCGGAGAAAGTGCAAAAGCAACTTTCCCAGAAAAGGTAACTGGGAACTTGGAGGCCATGCCTCCTACAGTTCTAAAGCAAGGCATTTGGGTTTGGAGATAGAAGTAAGGATGAATGGGATGGGAAAGGGAAAAGAGACTTACCCAACAAAGGTGACTCTCAAACAAAAGGGTTTTCAGCTTGGATATGGAGCAAGGCTGTGGGTTCAAAGATGGCTGTGGTTTGGGGGAAAGCAGAAAAAAAAAAAAGACTTACTCAGAAAAAGTGACTCACAAACCTAAATTGTATTTTTTATATTCAAACTCTTCTATTTAGGCAAATACACTCACACAGTGTTACTGAGATGTTTATTTACATGGTGATTACTTTTTGCTCTACTTATAGTCCCTAAATTTCTAGTCCCTAGAAATTCATATTTTTATCTGTGAGGTAACCAAGGTTTCATGGTTTAGAGAAAGTTGCTCTGTGCATCTGCTACTCCAATGAGCCCATTTTTCCTTTTATTTTTGTATATCATCAAAGACAAGGCAAATATTTTCCATGTTATAAATTTTTTATTTTTTTCAGATATCTGAATCATAAGAAGGGTGGAGAAAAATGGTAGCATGTTTTATGACACACTTGTAACTGGAGCTTCCTGTATTGCCAAATACTCTTGAGCATCAAAAGGCAGTCTCCAGAAGGTGATACTTTTCAAAACTGTCACATGATTTTTTCAAGTGTACTACACTAGAATGTCAATATTATAGGTGAAACACAAATGACCCTCTTCTTTGAAAAAAGAAAGGTGAAGCCAGTCTAGCCATGCTTGATTTACATTCTGTTTTTTTTTTATGTGTGTGATTGATATCTGTGGTGTTACCTATTAAACATAATGTCACCCATACACCAAGAGAATACTTTAAATATATCAATCCACAAACCCAGCTTATCTTTTATCCTATTTTGCAAGACAGGTGCTCTACCACATAGGCACATTCCCAGTATTCATTTTCTATGAAAAGATACTTTCTTTTTTTTTCTCCTTTTAAAAATGTAATTTAGAAACAATCTTATTTTATGTATCAATCCCAGTTCTCTCTCCCTCCCATCCTCCCATGTCCCCTACCAAACCCCCCATCCTACCCCATCCACTCCCCAGGGATGGTGAGGCCTTCCATGAGGGATTATAAAAGTCTGCCACATCATTTGTGGGAGAGTCTAGTCCCTCTTCCGTGTATCTGGGCTGAGAGAGTAAAAATCCATGGGGAATGAGCTCCCAAAGTCTATTTGTGTACTAAGGATAAATACAGGTTCTTAAGGGGAATGCCAATAGGATCTCACCATATGTTGTCTTTCATGCTTTATATAAAATAAAACTAATTTTCTAACCCAACAGAAAGAACTTTGGTGAATTTTGTATATACCTACATATGCATCTATAATTTCATGACAACCTATCCTCCATAGCATCTTTCTCTGATCTCGACTTCCAGTGCATACTTTTAAACTTCTGCATATGAACAATGTGCAGAACATAAATGTCCTTAAGTAGCTGATCCTAACTATGGTCATTTCCAGTGGTGGCAACAGCAGCAACTGAGTTTTTTCTACCTTGTGGAATCATAGAATGAGAATTACCGTTGACCTAAAAGAGCTCATGACCACCTAACCCTGGAGGAGATCAGGGAGGGTGAGCAGCATTGATTTTGCCTTAGTTCTATTTCGTGATTCCTTACAAGTCTTTATGAGAAACATTGTCCTGAACAGTTTCTATCATTTCAGGGGAGATTGAAAGGTACAGTGTTCATTGCCTCGTGTTCTCTCTGATAGTTTCTTTCATTCTTACCTGAACAAATGCAGCTGTGTGCCTGGAGAAGCATTGTTGTGTCATGACAAAATATTTATTTCATCTTTAAGTTTATCCTAGACCATTATT